CCGTTGCGAAGTCTGAACGTTGCCTAAGGACTGTCCCCACAGCTCACTAACCAGCCATTTGTGGCATCGACGAAATCGCTGTTCCATGGTGTCTTGGTGCTGTCAACTCAAACAATTGGACCACATTACGTGCAGTCAACGCGAGACGAGCGCTCAACTTCTAGGAGGGCAAAATTTAGCGCAACGTGGGGGACCGTCTTCGGATAAGGGTTCTTGGAAAGAAGTTACCTCGTTGTCGGTAGTAACGGCATCGTTCAATGTGGTAAAAAGAAGCTCCATCAAATCAACTGTTGATTGGCTAAAGCACAAGGTGAAAGGAGGAAGTTTTGAAAGCAAATCAAATGGAAGCTGAAGATTAATTCTCGGTTTTTCAGAGTGGCAAAACAACTTCAAATGAAATCTTCAAAGAGACCTGTTACCAAATACTCCCTACCTGACTTTGCAACGCGGTAGCTGTAGTAGCAATGGGTACAAGCTATCACATGCAGTAATCGATTTCGGCATCATTTTACCAAATGCTTCTTTGTATTGGAGAATGGTCTCCTCGCTGACTTCTTCACCATTACCCACCTAAACAACGTGGTGAACCAAAGACCAGTTTGAATAGCTCGGTTTCCACTTTCACCTCGGCGAGCTCCAAATATGGCATACAAATCAATTCTTTGGCTCTTTTTATAACTTCCAAACATCTTCGATCGATGAACACAGTGAAATGTTGCTCAGAAAATGCTTGGAACGTTGGCGTTGCATCGTTGAAGAAGCCCAACTCCTACATAAAGAAGTAAGTTAACTGATTACTTGGCGCAGTCCGGCTAGGTAGGGGCAACAAGTGGTTCAGCGAAGCCTGTAAAGGCCACATTGTGAAGGTCTGTTTATTGATGTAACCAAAAAACTTGTAGCAGCTCCACAAGAGATTACTGGTCTCACCAAATTGGGGCCTCAGAGTTGAAATGAACTGAACTCGGGAAAGGAACCAGTAAGTCTAAAATGCCCCTACTAAGCGAATTGCGCCGTGCACTTCAAGCGCAAGTAAGGAGGACTTAAAGACTTACAATCATATCTTTTCTGAACTGTTCGGCGATTTCCATAGCATGTTTCAGTTTCGAACCATCAGAATCCGGCACCGGTATTGATGCAGCAACACATTGCTGAATGACAAATTTTCATAGAGCGCTAAGTACTCAAACCGACCCCCCCCCACAACTCGGCTCGACGGCGGTTTGTCGGGAAAGCGGAGGAATTTCCATAACAAAAATAATACGGAAAAGGAAGCTAGAAAATGCTGGAATAGAGGATGGGGGCGCGGAGTGCGCGAGGCCATGACTCGGGACTGAGGGTACACACATATATAAAGCAAACCACACCTTCAGAAACACGGTCATAAGTTCCTCCTGGAAGAATCCTCCGAGACATAACGACAAGGGTCGATTGTTCAGAACAATTTCGTTGGTAGCTGATGCCAAGTGAGAGAAGAAGCGCTTCAAACTGCTGGAAAGTGGGAATTCATTGCTCAGATAGGTCTCAGAAACAGAGCCACAGAAACCCTGCTGATGTTTTGCCATTAGAGTGGGCGCTGTTTGTCGACGGGGGGGGGGGCATTTTGTATTATCATTGCTTCCCTAGTTCCGGTTTACAAATCTCACTCTGGTAAAACTTGTGAACTCTTGTGAAGCTGAAGTAAGATCGTCTAGCCACTATCCTAAAACGTGTCAACTCGAGAAACGGCTGCCTAAATGGGTCGACACATCTATGGAAAGCAAAATGCCCCTCCCCCCCGTCGACAAACAGCGCCCACTCTAATGGCAAAACATTAGCAGGGTTTCTGTGGCTCTGTTTCTGAGTCCTA